AAAAAATCCAAGCCTTGTTAACAAGACTTACAATTCCACACCCTCCAGCCTCACTCTCCTCCCCTCCCTATTCCTCACTCAAACTTTAGCTTCAGCTATACTCAGTCATTCCAGTTCCTTTTTTAAAAACATTTTTTATTGAGTTATAGTCATTTCACAATGTTGTGTCAAATTCCAGTGTAGAGCACAATTTTTTCCAATTCCTGAGGGCTCTATCCTTCTCATCACCTTTAGGCTGTTGCTCACTTTATGTTTTATGCCTAAATCACTCTTCTTTCTGAGCCTCTCCTCATCCTTACTCTCCTTTCAGGAAAGACTCGTATTCATTGTTCAGGTCATACATTACGTATCCTCTGGATGCATTCAGTGACACCACTGCATCGTGTTCCCACCTCCCACCTCCAGCCTAAGTTATAGGCCCTATAAGTGTTCAAATAGCAAAGAGTGCCTCTCTCTAACATTACCATTAGACTGTCTTTTTGTGTGGCTGAACAGTTTTCCTCCACCCCCAACACACACTCACACACATACACACATACATGCTGTAAATCTTGAGGGCTGTAACCAAGACTGTCTTCTTTATAGTTGTATTTCCAAATATTATTATTGTATCTGGCACATAATCCATTCTAAAGGAATATTTGTTGGACAAATGAGATTAATAAATATTTACATATTTACCTCTAATTTAAAAATATTTTATTGTTACATGGATACGCTAATCCATATGGATTTACTTTGGTAATGCAGAATCCCTTTCCCTATTGATAAGATTTTTCATTTGTCACATATAAAATTCTTATTATATTCTAGAATGTGTTTCATGGCTGTCTGTTCTGTTCCAGAAATCTGCCTTTAGTTTCTTGCAATAGATACAATCTATTTTAGTTATTATCTTTTTATAACACATTTTAATATCTGATGCAAGCACCCCTCATTAATTTCCCTTGTAGAAATCCTATCAGCTATTCTCACTTATTCATTTCTTTAAGATAAACTTTAAAATTATTTTCTCTGGCTTCAAAACAAATGTTCTAATGGAATTTAACGGGGATTGCATGAATCCTACAAAATGGTTTTGGAAGAGCTGACATTTATGACATTCAGTCTGTCCATCCAGGTATAGTATTCAAAGAAACCTTTACTCAACAAAGTCTTTGCATCTTGCAGTAAATTTTGGCGATTTTCTTAATCTAGGTCCTGCATTTTTCTTGTGGAAATTTTGTTTCTAGATGTTTTACATCTCTCTTTGCTACTGTGAAAGAAATACTAATATATGTCATATATGTTATTATACATATATATGTACAAGTCAGTAAGGATCCTGAATTTTCTTTTTATTTGCTGGTGCTGTGCGCTAAGTATAATCACACATGTTACACCTGGTTCAAGTAGGGGTCATAAGTAAAGCCAAGTCAATCTGGATGCCAGCCTCCTACAGTTTTCTCTATACGGATTCCTTTCAAATGTTTTTCTCATGACAAAAGAGAGAACACTGGGAAGGAGCAGGGAAGAGGGTAAGGTAGTAAGGGGTTGCAGTTTTCTGCAAAATATTCTAAATTAGCTCTCGATGTGCACTGTGCTTATCCTGTGGCTTCTGTGCATTTTGGGGAGCACCATCAGTGTCCTGGCATGTGTGTATTCTAGTTAAGCAAGCATGGTCTATGGAGTTCATGTGTTTCTCCCAGAAGTTTCCATACAAAGGAGACAATCACATTTTAGGCCAGGGAAACTTGGGTGTAGAAAAACAGAAAAAGATTATTTAGGTGCTTAGTGCTCTCAAGTATACAATTATAATAAGTATCCAGTTGTCATTTAATAGATAGCTATAAAAAGCACTCTTCCAATTAATAATCACAATGAAAGGATGACTCATGTCCTTAAAAAGTTTAGCAACTGACATAAAATGCAAATCTAATCAATGCAGCTGTCATTTGACAAAGCATCCATTTGAGGAAAGGCCTTTCCCAGATTCTAAAATGACATGGATTTTTACAATGGTAAACTAGAAATACTTCAGAAATACATCTGATAAAGTCTTGTGCTTCAAAAGTGAACTTCGAGCAACTGCAGACAAGTACACAGTAATTAATCCATAACACCCTCATTTCAAAGTTCTCAGCAAGAGAAAAGGGAAAATGGTCAACAAATAACCTAGAAGCAGGTTAATGTCAGAAGACAAGCTGTGTGGGACCAATAGAGATTTCCCCTGGACTGTTCGCCAAGGATTCTATTACCCCCACGTTAAAGAATGCATGGAGTTAACGCCCAAATCATAGGGACACTATCAGTTAAATCATGTTTGTTTAAGTTGACTGCTTAGTGAATTATATGCAGTTCATTCCACAATCTGAGTTCAGCCATTCAAAACATCTCCTCTTTGTCTTGTTTACAAAGTCCCCAGAAAAATGAATCTCTCGGCTATTTTTGTCAAAATTCCAGTGGTTGGAAAAGACAGCCAGGTAAGCAGCACCTACCTATAGACTGGGTGCCGAGTTAAGGATGCCCCTGACTGACTGCATCACAACCTACAAGCTACACACACATACCACACTGTCTTCCTCCATAGGGGCTGACCGCTCCTGAGATGAAATCCCAGGACTATAATAACAAACAAGACTGACCCCACAAACCACAAATTTAAAATGTCTCTCACCAAGTCATAGTCATGCCATACTAACTGTAGTAACGTTCTCAGACATTACTGGATGAGCAAATTCTTATTTCCAGATCATTTCTAGTTCTTTTATAAAGCCAGAGGAAAACTCATTCACTGCTACCACGTATTTTATGTGACAGAAATTTGAAAAATCATTGAGAAAATTCAGTAAGATAAAAATCAAATGATCTGAATTCTGATTCTGTTAACCATGCTCCTGGCAAGTTGCTTAACATTTATATGCTGTATCGTCCTTATCCAGAAAATTCATGAGTTAGACTAGATAAGCCTGTGCTCCATTTCAACTGAAAAGTTATGTTAATTGGTTCTAAAATTTACATGAAGCTAAAATTTTAATAAAAATTCTAGCTTTTTATCTGCATTCTCTGCCTAACCTGACATTTAGAATCAACCAAAAGTTCTACTAAAAGTTTTACTGATGTCATATCTCAGTTTTCTCAAATTGATTTTCCCAAAACTTTATACCTGACTACAGCAAATATCAGAAAGACCATATCTGCATTATAAACTATGGAAGAGAAAGGCAGTTTTAAATCTGATCACATTTCATGACAAGTAAAATTATAATCTGCAAATGCTGTACGTTAGCTTTCTGATTACTATAAATGTTTGAAAGCCACGATATTGTAAGATTCTTCAGTAACCTCTGGGAACTGAACTCTAAATTCCTCTGAGAAGGCATGTGACATATTCAGCAATGGGAAGCAATGAAAGCTCTAGAATTTAAGGCAGAGCCAGGTATGCTGTGGTTAGCGCCCTTACGGAGGACAGAGAGCAGCTCGTTGCAAACTGTGAGTCGCCCCTGGGTTCGATTCCCACAGCTCTGCATCTCAGGTAGAAATGGTGGAGCGAAACACACAGGTCAGACAAGTCAGCTTAGCTTTGAATTATAAAGGAAAGCCTGGTTAAAATAACTTTTCTATTCTTATCAAAGGGCTTCCAAAACTGGTTTTTCAGGACTAGAATATGAATAGAGGCTGAAAAGTGCCCCTATATAGATTAATTAGGTTAGAACTCAGGCTATAACATAGAGAAGACGGCCAAATGCACAGGAAGCCCTGTGGGAAACTGCACACCCCCAGTTAACCCAACCCTGCTTTATTCCTCGGTACATTCATGCAAGAAATGTAATTTTCTTATTTGGGGAAGATAGGGTGCACACAGACCAGTGGCTCGCAATGTTTTCAGCTATCAAGAAATACGAATATAACTTCTTATCTATAAAACAATGAGTTCACTATTTTAGTAAATGCATCATCTGTGAAAACAGGGAGTTCCTTTTAAAAAAAAAAGAAAGTTTAATAATCACTCAAGAAAAAAGGCCAGTGGATGCTGGTCCCTTGTCTTAAAGAATTACTATCTTTATGTGTGACAGGATTCACCAGCTGACAGCTCCCACAAGGAAACTCATATCTCTGCTGCCCGGAAATGCGTAAAATTGCGAAGTTAAAAGCAATGCCATCTAAAACCACAACAAGGAGCAGCAGAGCTGTGGAGGAGAATAGCTTGTTAAAATTTAACTGGAAAAAAGACAAAGTGAGGAGAGTAAGTTCTAACTTTAATCATTTGCAAAGAAAACAGGGGAAGTTATGCAAGTAAAGCCAATGAATTTATGTTTGCAAATATAATTCAACTTACCTCTCTTGAGCAGAAACCCAGGACTTTTTGTCTAAACAGCCAGCAGTGATTCCCCAGGTGGATCTGGCTGAGACTAATGGGCACCTGGAGTTTACTGAGTGCAGTTTCCACCTCCACCTGCCTGTGCTAATGAACAGATCAGAGCCTTCTCCCTCAGTGGCTGAGTCACTCAGGGAAGGGGTGGTGGTGTGAAAGAGGGTGTCACCTTGTATAAATACCAATTCAATTAAAACAGCTCACTTATAGACCTGCTGTCTTTGTTTGGCAAATTCTTCATATAATTTTTGGCCTTGTTAGACCAAAAATATGTAGTCCTGTTATCACTCTTTCAATTAATATCAACAATTTGCACAACTCTGTCACTGAAAAGGTGCCACGGTGTCCAACCTATTTTGGATTCTCTTTAAAAAAAAAAAAAACAACAAAACAAAAAACTTAAGGCAGGAGGAATCTCTGTCTGCCCACGGTGCCTGGAAGGCTGGGGCACAGATACACACTCAGGAAATGCACTGCTAGGAGGAATTAAGATCCTTTAGGAGAGAAAAGTCCTCTGGAACCCCGAGATCAGGAAATATGAGTGGAATCTATTACACAAATTCTACACATGGAATTTTGGTAAAACCATCAAAGGAAAAATACATCCCAAAAGATAAGAACTCTGATCCTTTTATGATTTCACCACATATGAAAATGTGAAAAAGATGCTAGAAACTTCTTTCACATCTGAGGGCAGCAATAGACTCCAAACACCTGCTTCTGAGAAGGAAGGAACAGTGCAGATGGGAGCTCCCATTAAAGGTTCTGCAATGCACCTTCCTGAACAGCCAGGGAGACTTTAAAGAAGCTTAGCAAATCTGGAACAATTGCTAAGAGCAGCTAGTCATTAGAATTTCCTCATCTTTATTCATCTGTCACACCAATAATTATCCAAACCCTCCCAGTTTCAAGACAGCTCCTGAAAATCACAGTCCAGCTGAGCTATAGTCACAATAGTGACTTAAGATATAGAAACGTTCAGATTGAAAGGCACAGACAATTGCAGTAAACAATCATTATGATCGGGGACAGCCCTTCCTTAATGTGCCCTTATTCTGGGCTGAGGAATTTGCAAATTTAAAATGAAAAACTTTCCTTAAAAGTTATATATATATATATATATATATATATATATATATATATACACACATACATGTACAAATATTCATGTTTATTCACCCTTTCATAGAATTTTGTATGTGCAAAATATTGTAGAAATGTTTGAAATTTCTGTGATATCCATATATGTTGGTTGGATTGAGG